ATAATATATATATATATATATATATATATATATATATATATATAATATACAGCAATAATATTGTTATCAAGAGAAATATTTATAAAATTTTCAATATGTTTTTAGATTTTAACACATACATAATTTTATGGATTAATAGTTAGGCTTAATAAAAATAATGAAAATAATCAGAATATACAGAATTTTATAAATAATATAGATTGTTAATAGAAAATTATATCCTTGCAGTAATCTTATGAAATATTTATATTGCATATTTTAAAAATAATTTTATATTTTAATTATTTTTTTTACGTATATTGTTATTGGAAAATATCTTATTATTGTAAAATATATATTATAAAGATTCTAATCAAAACTTTCAAAATCTTATATTATAATTTACTTATTATAATTAATTATTATTATATTATAATTAATTATTATTGAATAATTTGAACGTAATATAATTCTAACTTTTATCTAATTTTTTCTTCTATTAGAAAATGATCTCTAATATTTTCAAATAAAGGCATCGAGCTAAATATATAAGAGTTCAATTCATACATTCGATGTTATTCGATATTAGCATAAGTACGAGCAAAACGGAAAATTTGCATTAGTGCCAATAGTAGAGCAAATCGATGAGAGCTTCTTTTACCATAAAATTGCTATCTTTCGATATTATTATTTCGACAAAACTCGTAGCAAAGGTACTGCTTACAATCGTATAGTCGTGCAATTTTACAATTCGTACAATCTTGTAATTACGCGATCGATAGTGAAACAGCCCTAGTAGCAATATTGGTTTCGTAAGAATAAATGCGTTGACAGCGGGTGTGTGCATACACAGCAATCGACATTAAACGGAATTTTTTATGAGACAATAAACGACACAATTTATATCTCTCCACGAGTCAAATGTAAATTTTGCTCGCATCAGGAAGTAGCGAGCATCGAGGGAAAAGATGCATAATGTCGACGAGTTCTTTCGAGAATCATGCTATAGCAATCTTCGCATTTTATTAATTGTATGCGGTATATGGCCTTTTCAAGCATCGAACATACGTTACGCGATGTATGCCGTATTCGCAGCACTCTTCGGATTCACAATTGTGTTCGAGGTACATGTGAAAGAGACAGAGAGCGAGTATTAATTCAAAGTATTGTGTACAGGTTTACAAAGAAAAGCATGCATTGCATGATTCTTTCAGCTTAATCTCCATTTCTTATTCGAAAAATATAAATTATATGACATCCTATCTCTTTCTTTGTTTTAATAATTTCAACAAAAATGAGAAGTTTTATTTGAGAAAATCACAATGCACGATTTTCTTACGATTTTGTACACATTACTATGGAATTTAGAAGATTTTATTAATCTGTATGATAAATGTAGTCTATGTGTACGATTGAAGTGTGGCCAGATTTTTTCGAAACATTTGACTGTTTGACGATGCTATTTTATGCTTTATTATCAACGATTAAGTTAATCTATACAGTGTATAAATTACCTAAGGTGCGTAAATAAAAACAATCAAATATTTGAGTCTTGATTAAAACACAAAGCAATTAAAATGAGCAATTAAAGCTATTAAGAATAAAATATTATCATGTAATGTCATACTTAAGTTAACTTTAAGTTAACTTTAAGTCGTACTTAAGTTAACTTTAAGTTACAGATCAAGATGTTGCTTGTAAAGATACACGAACATTGGTGTTCTTCGAAGGCAGATAAAGAAGCTAAAATCTTGCATTCGAACGAATTGGTCGCACGAAAATTCGGCTTTATTTATGCGGGTAAGATTCGATGTGGAATAATAATAATATTGAATCACAGAACACATTTCTATTACACATTATGCAGTATATAACATATTTTTATTTCAAGTAAACTGAATTTATTTTTTATTATTTTTATTTTGTTTAATTAACATTTTTTTAATATCAAAAATAAAATTAAAGCCTTTTTTATGATTTTAATATTCAATTAAAACAAAAAGAGTAATTTTAAAAAGTCAGAAAATTCGAAAATTATATTTTCAATATATGAAGAAAAAAATATTAATTTAGAAAATAAAAATAGTTAAAAGTGATTGCTTGATATTTCTAGTGTTGAAAAAATAGTCGTTTAATTTTAGATTTAAAATTTGTGCGTCATTATCTGTTAAGAAAATTTTTACTTTGTACATTTACAATATTGCAATTATAATATTTTTTTCCAATACATACATATTTTAATATATTTTAATTATATAAACTTATAACACGACACGTTTGTTAAAATCTAAAATCTTAATACTTTCTTATATCTTTTTCTATTAGGTGGTTTAGGTGTATATGCTGTGATTTATGTGTTCACACCTTTAGTGATTATGTTTCTCTATAACGCGGAAGATGCATCAAATAAAACACAGGATTCAGAAACTCGGGATTCGACTCGTCACATCAATTACATGATTGATTTACAAATGCAGTATATTCCACTTTATATACAGGGGTCCATGTGCGAAATATATTTCACAATTATAATAGTGGCGATAAACATCCTGTATTTGGCATCTGTCCAACATTGTTGTGGTTTATTTGCAGCTCTATGGTAAGTTAAATAGATCCGAAAACTAAATATATTTAATCATTCTTACGAATTCATTCATCTTTACGAATTCAAAAGATTTATATTAACACACTCGTTTCAAAGTATTCATTTAGCATTCATTTATGATTAATTATAATTATATTAATAGAGTATATTATTAACATTAAAATACATTATTTGTTATGCTTATGTATATATATAAAATTTCTTTTTCAATGCTATTGATATTGAACTTCAGCTATCATTTGGAAAACGCGTTTGAGTTTGAAGATGACGACGATATAATGACATCCACGCAGAATAAATGTTATTTGCATATCACGTACGGTATTCGAAGACACGCAGAAGCAATACAGTTAGTATATTACTTTAAACAATAATTTTCATAAATAAGCGATAATAGTAACATTTGATATATGTCTTCATGTATGTACATTTATGTCAGATTTTCGAGGGCTATAGAATCGCTATATAGATTACCATTTTTCTTGCATATGACAATTAATGTGACACTGTTAAGTATCGTAGGATTTCAGGTAAATTATTTGATATAATCATATAGTAAAATCAGATATAGTTATTTTTATTAAATTTTTTTCAGGTGATGGCATATCCGGAGAACATTAATCGCATGTTGCCATACGGTAGTTATCTGAGCGGACTTGTGCTTAATACTTTCTTTGAAAACTGGCAAGGTCAAAAAATGATAGACTGCAACGAAAAAGTGTACAACTCCGCGTATGTTTAACAAAATTCAAAGAACATTTAATAATAATCATAAATCTCCCATAATAATTTTAAAATATTACAGATTTATTAGACAAAAATTAATTGAATTAATTACACGATTTTTTAATAATAATCATAAAAATTAATTTTTTCTCCAGAGATTTTCAAGTAAACCTAAGAATAGAATTAATTTCAGAATAAACGTATTAATAATATAATATAATGATTTGTACTTCCAGATACAAATTAGAATGGTACAAGATGCCTATAGCTTCGCAAAAACTTCTGATAATGATTATGCTGAGAAGTAACAAACCATTGACAATAACTGCGGGAAAGGTTCTCGTTCTGTCCTATGTGACATTTAACGCGGTGAGTGTAAATGACTCTGTAAAACAAGAACAATTCCACTGATATGAAATTTTATTTAAGGCAATGCGTACAGGCTTTTCATATTTAATGCTTCTGCGATCCATGCAATAAATTTATATGTAATGAAGCAATTTCAAAGACATATTAATAACCAAGGTGATTTAATAACTCGTTTATTAATTAGAAGATATGTATCTTGTTGTATAAAGTTTTGTATCTTCCATGCAAATATTTTATGTAACTAAATAAAACTAAGAAAAAAAGCAATCGCTGTGCCAAAATATTTTATACTGTTTTTTACATGAATACTAATTACGGCAAGAATATTTAAGTGTATCGAGTATGCACCAAGTCGTCGAGGTCATCATCTATCATCGTCACAGATATTACCTCAGATTTTTCAATCAACATTGTGATTATTCAATTATACCTTAGGAATCGTTAAGTAAAGATAATAATAAATCAATTGCTTGTAGTCAATCGTTGTCATCAGTAATAGTGCTCATGAGCTGTCATGAGATTTGCTCATTGCATAGACAAGAGAACAGTGAAGTAAGAGAATGATGTTCGTACAACCTTAAAAAGACGACGTGTCAACATATATGATAATGCGATGTCTGATTTCACTCGAAGGAGCTTTCTTACTGCAGAAAAATTCGCCAAGTTCAAGGTATACAATTTGCCCGCAGTTATCCTAATTGGCACATAACTCCTCGACAGCATAATACTAATGACTTTCCGCACTCTCAGCGAAGACTGATACCATCTTCCATTAGTTCTGAAAGATCGACATCAGAATGTTTCTTTTTTCGTTAAAAAACACAATTATCTACAATTATTTTTGATGTATTTATATTTGATTCCATAGACCGAATAATCTGTTAAAGTCTGAATTATTATTAATTATTATTAATCAATTATTATTATCATTATTAATCATTATCATTATTAATCATTTTCAGAAATTACATAAAATAATTGCTACGAGATACTTACGTGAATGCAAAAATTTTATCGGTATAATCCGATAGTTGCTGACCCGGCCAGCTTTCGAGGAAGAGAACGGAAAGCAAGCACACTGTAAACGATGCGTATCGCAAAGCTTCGTTTGGATCGCTCAACTTTACCACCGCCTATCTCGTAAATATAAATTCATTTTATTATAATAAAGCACATAATTATAAATGTTATAATTTAAAGCAAAATTGGGTGAGTTTCTTTTTCTTTTATTAAGTAAAAAACATAAAATTAATTTAGTTACGTTAAAAATTACATAGACAAAAGATTAACTTAATTAAATATTAATTTTAAAAAACATTATTTGTATTACTAAAATGTAAGCTTTTTAATTTATTATTTTATCCAATTAAATAAAATTAAATAATTAAAAGTGAAACAAAAAATTAACTTGGGGAAGTTAAAAAGATCAAATTTCTGCTTTAAACAATAACTGTTGAAGTTGAATTTAAAAGTTAATTTGTTTGAAATTATCTCAGTTTAATTAAAAGTTAATATTAATATTTAATATTTAAATTATAACTGATTAATTACCCAATTTTAGAATATTTATTTTTTAGAAACATTTATCAATATCAATAATTATTATTGCGTATATATTATTGCTTTTATATATATGCTTTTATTTCTAAAACTAACCTGGAATATTGTGAATGTCATACCCATCATATTGAAACCTAATTGAAAAAAATACGACGTCGTATTTGCAGTCTCGAGACGTTTAGCATATCTTGATAACCGAAAAAAGTTAAAATATTTATTAATAAAAATATACATATATCAAAGTATAAATTTCAAAAAATATATAGTGCACTGATCAAATATAAAAAGAATTAAGCAAAAGCATTAAATTTGAAGTTAAACAAATGATATAAATGAATTTAATGTGACTAAAATTTACATTTTTTTATGCACATATAAAAAGACAGCAAAAAATATATTATAATTATTACGATTGAAAATACTAACTCTATTATGTGGTTATGCATGATTACACAATTTTTAATATACATATACGACGCAGCCTCTTTCTTACTTGGATACAAATTTATGTCTAAAGTATCTTCATCAACAATCTGTCCTAGTTGATATCTAAAACATACTCATTGATAAATGTATCTTAAACATAAGTCGAGTCCAGGAATGTTGAAAATCAATTGAGATGTAAATGAATATTAATATTATTATTTAATATCGACATTTTTATCTTATGATATATCAATACAATACTCTTCACATGAAGTATAAATGAAACGAATTCGGGTATTAATAAGACATCTGATGACCAATGACAAATATTTATTCCGCAATCGTTCTTTTTTCTCTTCGCTCAACAATAATCGGTTTACACGACAAAGATGTACATATATTTCTATGTATCGTAGATTTTAATAAAATATATAAAAAACGTGTGACAGTACGAGATATAAAATATTAAGATGAAATGAGATAAACAATGAACGGATTTCTCACATCTCACAATGTGTAGACGCGAATACATAAAATACACAAAGGATGCGATTCGAATGAAAATGTTGTTCGGTCTTACAAAGTGCCATTATTACGGAGTTACCCCAAGATCTCGCACATCCCACATTCATGTTGAATATGAAAGACCAACATCGAGTCGATTGCCACGACGATCGAGACGAATCCGAGGGTGCCGATGTACGAGTGCACCAGCAACGGATAATAATATTTCTCGGAATCGACAAAGTATTCCGTGCGGAACATCAAGGGTCTACCCTCGGAAATATTGTACAGCCCCATGAAGCTGGCTGTGTTTAGTACCACCGGGACAACCAGAAAGGGAGTCATTGAACCATACAGAGAGACTGTAAATAATACATTTATCAAGACCCGTACTCTTACACTTGTACTAACCGTTCAATTTATACATTCAGAATATACACGAAATATTTTAGCTTTAATAAATATTTACATTCAATATATTTTTTTATATATATAAAATACTTTTTATATGAATTACACATGTTTAAAATTTATGCAATTGATATCATTATATATATATATTAGATCTTTTTAATTTAAGTTCGATCGTGGAAAGTTTAAAAGAAATTATGAAATTTTTAGTATGATTTTTACCTGCGTAAGCAATCGTGATTTTTCTGCCCATCGCGTAATTTCTACAAAGAATATCATATTCGTAACTAAGTTTGGAATAGATATTCCAGTCATCCGCCATTATAACGGTAAGTCTCCTCATCTATATTTATGAATATTTACGTTCAATATTAGCAAAGAGATTATACGCATTTTCGAAGCATACCTGTTCATGATTATATGTATAATTAATATGTTTACAGATGCACATTAAACTAATTACGAAGGGCGATGAACTCTCCATAAACGCATCAATGTCATCCGCGAACCAAGCAGTTATCATGCCGCCACCCTGTAAAATTTTTTAAAGTTTCGACTCTATATTTAATCTAAGATATTATAAAAGTAAATTAATATTTTGGAGAACAATAATATAAATTTTTTATAATTTTAATCTTGTTGAGAAATATGTTATTCTCATTTAATTATTTGAAATTGCAAATAGTTATTAATACTTACTTTAATGACATATTTTTATCATAATATGGGATTTATCGTTCATCAAAAAGTTTATCAAAGAAATATAATTTCTGCTCGAGCAGCATCATTTACTTTTTTCTCATTTATTTATCTTTTATATACGTGCATTCTCAATTATAACATTAATTAATTTTTTTTTTAATTTCAATTAATTTTTTATTTCGCAATAAATTATCTAGTAACCTCATAAAAATTTATATTTCATGTATAACGGAGATTCAAGATTTACCTGAAGAACCGCCTGCGAAAAAACCGCGGGCACGAAGACAAATTGGATGAGAAATCTCTCCCAAACCTCCTGATACGGCCACTGACCAATGAGGCACATTAACATCTGATTGATACGCATATATTGGCCTTGAACACTGTCCATCTTGACGATTCTGCGGTGGGTATAGCACTGCGCTTGCAACGAAATAGGAAGCGCAATGCGCCGGGAGGAAGCCTTCACTGGCCTCGTTAAGCATTCCGTTTGGACGGCGTAATTGAGAAAAATTGCACCGCGGAAGGAATCAAATCGATATGTGGTAGCGCATACACACGTATGAGATACACAGTTTAAAGAAAGAGATAAATTCTCAACGCATTGTACGCGACGTCTTTTTCAACGACCCCCGCGCAATGCGAGGGGGTTGAGTTAAGCGGTCGAGTTAAAGCGGAAAGTTAAAAGTGCATACACAACGCTTCGCTTGAACCGCCCGATCGTTTCTCATACAGGAAGAGATCGGCGCGAATTTCATGTCAATTCACTACCTTCCGTTTCATAATAGTATCGTTCTAGGACCTAATTTGCTTCCTTTTCGTACTCTCCGAGGAAATATTTCTTCATACATGATATTTCATGATATTTCTATAGTATTCGCTGGATATCGCAATTACGTTGCGCGTATAATGTTAAAAGAGTCATTTTTAACTCAACCACACAGAAGTTAGAGACGACGTGTATATGAAATATGAAAATATAGAGAGAAACTGAGAAATCAAATCGTACTTTGCCTTCGAAAACCGTTTGATACATATTCCGATAAGGTTAATTGTTCCGCCTAATATATTAATCGAAAAAATATTTGTTAAGAGTAATGGTATTTTACAGAAAATAATGTATTTATAACATCAATAACGATATTATGTAATTCGCATTCATTTAGTAATTTTGATGTTATAAAAATATATTTAATAATTCTAGATTGTTCTTAACTTCAGATAGAAATTTCTAGCTAACCGATGCCAGTCAGTGCTAGATCTAATTAATCGATGATTACTTTGATATCATTGTCACATCAAGTCTCGGAAAGTTGAGCCCATCAATGCGCCGAGCGTAGGAAAGTGAAATATGACACAGCAGTCTTCACAATCTTGAAGAAGATGTTATCAATTAACATTGTAAGTATAATTTAAACGTGAAATTAAAATTGATTCATTAAGAAACAAAATTGATTAATTAAGAAAAATAATTACTTTAATTATTTGGGTGTGAGGTGCATATAAAACCTAATATATTTTTCTACGTTTTCTCATTAGATCTACACGTATAGATTTTTCTCTCTTCTTTTTTTACGAATTTGAAACAAATTATCTTACCGTAGCAAATGTTTCCATGCACAAAACGAACATACCGCCGGCCGTTAATACGCAAGGTGGCTGCGTTTTCATCATCATGAAAAGAACAAGTTTTTTCGTCCTGGGCGACGCATCGTACCAGTTTAAATTTATTCTGCAATTATTTTGAAAAGTCCGCTCACGTTTTTCTAAGCCGCGCTTTCAAATTTGTATTTTTTTATAGCGCATTAAATCTATCAATTTGTGTTCCCACAAATTGATGGATTTAATATGCTGTAAAACAAAACTCGCTCATTGCTGATATCCAAATATCTCATTTTTAATGTGCAAAAACATACGTACAAATTGACATGAAGATACCCGCTATAATCCATTAATCTCTGAGCATTAATACATTCAAAGCATAGATGAAAGAGTAACGCGCACGACACTGCTACTAATCTAAGAAGCTCAGACAGATCGTCCGATTTTGTCACAGCCTAAACAACATTACGTTAATTATGGCCAGATAATTAATTATAAAAATCATATTTTAAACTTAAGATTGCACTAAACTTAAGATTGCAATTTCATTTTGTGCACATGGATCACACAATAAATTTTTCGGACCTCTGGATATTTCTATTCTAGTAAAAATGTATATTTTTCAACAAATCTTTTTTTTTCTTTCAGAATTTCATTATCATAAAATCAGAATTTCAATCTGTTTGTTAAATTACAAAATAGACATTCAAGAAATTTCAAGTGACGCTAGTCATTTGAAGTTTTATTACAAACGCGTGTAATCCTAAATAATAAAATAAGATAACCAAGTATATGACAAGTTTAATAATAATTGTTATACGCAACAATGTGCCTGTTTGCATTTCTTTTAAAAGTTTTGTTTGCATTTATATGTAAATTAAATCTTAGATTCGCGAAATTTATCTATGAACGTTAAATTAACGCACTATTAAATCAATCAACGATTATTACTATTGCAATTAAAATAATAATACGTACAAAACGCACATACCGCAACGCCCGTAACACTCATAGCTATCATATTCAGCCCGGCATGGAATAGAAAGTGCTTGGAGTACACAAGTTCCATAAGATTGGCAAACCTTGATTCAAATGCATCATGATAAAAATAAATGACACGAACGCGATACGACCGCAAAATTAAACGAAATACAATCCTATACTTTCACTCTCAGACAATTCGAATTTATTTTTTATGCCAAAACAAGCAGTGTATTCGGATTACAACGGATCAAAGGTGCAAACGACACAAACCTTATAGCTGCTCTGTGATTGTGAACACATTGTATCATATTTTGATACGCCTTATCTTTCGTAACTGGGGGATTGGCATCTCCGATCGAGTGTATTTCCTGTATCGCTTGTTCTATCCGTGAACTTCAAGGATAACGAAAAATTGTAACAAAATTAAAAACAAAAATTGATAAGAAAGCGAAATTTTTATCGGATTTTATCCCATGAGACATGGGTATTACTCACCCAGTTACGATAAACAGCCCGCAAACGTGTTGCACAAATATAACAAACATCGCGTCAGTCGCGACGATGGTCGTAACGCAAATCACGGCCGTGAAATATCCGTGAATCAAAATTGGAAAATAATATTTATCCATATCAACGTAATATTCGACTCGATGCAACATTGGCCGAGTTGTAGCGTTAGCCATTCGAAGGATTAACGGTTGAAAAGGCATCAGCATAAATACTACTGTTAACATATACATCACACCTGAAGAAAAGTTTTTAGAGATAAACGTTTTTTAGATTTTTAAGATAAATTTAGAAATAAATAGATAATCAAATTAATTAATCAAATACAAATTTCTTTTTTGAGTCATTTACTCACAAATGTAAGTGGTCGAGGATTTTTTGCCATTATCTGCATATTTTTGAAGAAGTTTTACGTCACTGGAATTTCTCAACAAATTGAAATCATTTTGTATTCGATCGAGCAATGCTCTTATCTATAAATTTACTTATAAATTATCTTTAAATAAAAAATTATTTTTGGATACAAAACACTGTTTAAATTAAAATTGACGGTATGCTTTGTAAATTGCAACAATTTGCAAATAGAGCAAATTGTATCATAAATTACGTTAATTGCTCCGAAATGCAGTATTAAAAAAATATTTACACGTACCTCATTTACGCATAGTATGGAATTCAACATTTTCGTCATACCTGATACATCAACCATTATCGGAATGAGACACTCGATCACGATGTCCATATCGTGAATGTAGGCAACCATGCCACATATCTTGAAATAAATTAATTATTAAAATAATCGTGCGAAAAAATTCAATTAAATGACACGTCTCGTCAATTTGATGTGACATTTTATTCCCCATAAGAATACTAGCTTGCAGATCCACTTCTCCGGCGAAATAAACATTAACGCCGGAGTGTCAGTAGCTACTGTACCTTAGTGAGAAATTGCGAGCAAACTATAGTTGCTATGACGATAAGTATAATGTGACTCGTCTTGGACGATTGGTAAGGCCATTGACCGATCGCCAATAGCAGAATTTTATTGACTTTGTAGTTGTACCCATCAAAGAAATCCATTTTACTTGTGTTAACGGAGTACTAAGAGCATCGTGGGTCTTTCCGATCTTTATCACATCGTCCAGTCACACACAATATCTTACAATATTAACAATTCTTTGTGTAACACGACTTCTAAAGCAATTGTTCCTATTACGTACTTATAGCCAAATGATTATCGAAAGGTATATACCTAATTCTGCGGTTTGACGTTTGCTTCAAAATAATATTGTAATTTCAGAGCGTAATTTTCTTTGTATTACCTATCATTTCGATTCAAGGTATTAATTTTCGAAGCGTTTCTCTAACCTCTTCGTCTTAGAATATCAATTTTCATTTATTTTGTCACGAATAATCGAATATTCGAATATAGAAACAGTAGTGACAAGATGTCAATGTTTCTATTATCGTGTATCTAAGATACGTACGTCTGATCTAAAATTTCACAATCCTTTTTGCAAAAATTTTTAAAAAGCGGACTAACAAAAAATATCATTTCAAATATCACAAATATGAGACACTTCATCTCGGTATGTATAATTAATATTTTTACCGCTCTAATAATTTTATATAAATATTACAATTTTTTTACAGACGTTAAATAAAATAAAATCGTTCATTTAACGATTTTATTACCATAATGTTAATACATTAAAGTTTGCACAAATATACTTTCGATATATATTATTATATTATCTTCGAGAAATAATGTTCTCGAAACGGTGCGAGAAAATGTTTAAATACATATTGTACATACTATATATATATATATATATATATATATATATAATATATATATATATATATATATATATATATAATTTTAAATATCAAAATGTCATTGAATTTAGCATAGCATAGCGAATGGACGCACAGCACGATTTCGAGCGTTATAATGAGAAATTGGTGGATACGTCAAGGATTTCGCCACGCGCCTCTTGCAATGCCATATGGCTCTATGGTACGTTCTAGGATTCGTTTTCGAAAGCAGTAAAGTGTCGAAACTGCAAACAGCAACAGTCGATCTATCATGCGCTCGTCACACGCTGCACACCCTCGAATGGACTTTCTAATTGGATGTGGAATTGGATATGAGCTGACGAAAAGTTAATCACTATATGACGAGATACTTTCAATCATGACCACAGTCAAAATTATTATCCGAGATCGGAAGAGCATGTCACTGTGAAATATTTGCCAATATACAGAATGTTCCATAAGTCGAGGTTAATCACGTGAGAGATAAAATGGAAAATCAAAATATAAAAAAAAAATTAACAATGTAAATCCAAAAATTGTTGCATTGTTTTGGAATTATTGCTATTTTTACATTAAAATTGGATATTGCTTTGCTTTCGAATTTTTTTGTCAAAATTAAAAGAAAAGATGATTTATTATAGTTTTATAATGTAATTAAAGTCAAATAAAAATTGCGGGTTACATTATTCAGCGTGCACAACTGTGGAGTTCTTATCAAGAGATGCTAAATGAGTTGTATCTGTTTTGAAAAAAAAAAAATTCAAAAGCAAAGCAATTTAAAATTTCAGCATAAAATTATTTTTTTTTCAACATAGTCGAATATCAAAATTGAACATTAGCAAGATGTTTACATCGGATGTATTTAAATGTCCATTCGGCAATATTGATTGAACTACTTCACTTACCCAGTTGCGCAAGGTGTTGTTCCTCTCGAGTGCACTTTTCCCCTTGGCTTCTTTATCACGAGATCTCCCGCCTTCGGTCACCAACACCTTACACCTTCCTTCAAACTGTATCGCGATTCTTAGTAGAAGGTTATTAAAAGTCCCTTATCAACGACATCGCTTTACAAGAGAGATAGAATTAGTTTTCAACCAATATCCATTCCACTTTCATTCCATTCGCAACGAAAAAATCGAAAGACAGCTGCACTTTCAGTAAAAAAAAAAAACGCAATTTTCTCACAATTTTCATTACAATTCATTTCAAAAATTCTCATTAATAAATCGTTCACTGTTTTCCACGATTTTCACCGGAACCTTGATAATTCATATTTCAATAAATACCATTTAACGTCGTTGCGTGTTGTTTCTTTCTTTTTTTTTTTTGCACAAATAACGACGTAACGCACGAGAGAAAAAGCTACTTTATTATTTCGGAAAATAATAGTGAATTCCTCGTCGCGTCACGTTTAAAGTTCGTGCCTTTTAAAGTTCCGATTTCGCCGATAAGATTAACGCGTCTCAACGTTACGGTAGGATGCCGAATGCGGGAACTTCGGTTCGGTCGCAATCTCCTCGAGGGTTTCCTTCCGGCGCCGCGCGCCTCTTTATCTCCCGGAGATCTCCCGCCCTCGGCTGGCCGACACCTTGCGGCACCTCTCGTTATGCGCTCGTAGATGAATGCCACGCGCGTCTCTGAGTCCGTTCCGTATCGTTTTGGGATATGAGGGGTAGATCCTCATAGGAGATGAATATCGCTAATTGTCTTAAGGCGAAGGGGTCAGCCTTGTGGTAGTAGCACGCGACCGTTGTGTTCTACTACCGTCCCCCTCCCTTCTCCTCCTGTCGGCATCTTCGTATCATCTTTCGTATACGATTCCTCTACAGAATGTCGATAGGAATAGATGCAGAAAATATTGCTGCAATTATTTTAATGCTATTAAAAATTGTAGAGATTGATATGGCTTATAGAAAGTGCGAATCAAAAATCTCCACACACGAATATATATTTTGCATATTTATATAATATTTATTAATTTAAACACGATCATTAAAAATTCGCTTTTACCCGCAACAGAATTTCAAACGATTAATTGTGCGTTTTTATTTCATTTTCAAATTATAAACGACGAAAAACTGCACTTGCAAGGATCGTGAATGCTCGATTTCCTCTCATTGCATTCCTCTCATTGTCTTCTTTTGATATTACCTAAACAAAAAAACGACGAATATAATGTGGCGTATACAGTTATTACACATGGAGTGGCTTCTATTATGAAAGCATCTGTCGTTCCGCCGTCGGTCGTTGTGACGATCTGAGCGGACGATCGAGCAGAAAGAAATCGGAAATTGAAAATTAATTTCCGCATGTCGCGGTTAGTTCGCCTCCCAATCATCGCCGCAAAAGTCAAAAATATTACCGCGATATTGTAATGGATTCATCGTCCGCGTAAATTTTCAACGAGATCGAAGTAGCGGCGGATAAAATTCGATCTTTATCGATTTTACCTCGTCGAAAGTACATAAAAATAAATGAATCTCAATCTTAGAATTTTTCTACTTCGTCGAGCGCTCGCCGGCAATAGAAAAATGAACTTTCGTCGCAAAGAACACCCGCGCTCGTTTCTTTTTCAGGCCGCCGATCGTTTCTTGGTGGATCGCGAAGGTAGGACGGACTCGCGGCGCGGGCGTGCCTGCGGAACGGACGTCGAAGAACTCGAAGAGAAGAGGGGTAGATACAGAAGGAGTCCGAATGAGCCGCTGCCAGGTGTACGTATCGCCCATAGGGATAGGTAGAAAACAAGGTGGGAACCATATGTTGATCTGCTGACGGGCGCTCTGGCACGCGCCGGGCGCACTCGAACTCGAGCCTTTACATCGTGAGGATCGGGACTGTGGTGTCCATCCTGGTGTCCTCCCGTCGACCAGACCGTCAACCGCCTGACAGTTTAGCCTCGATGTTCCCTTTTCACCTACGTGCGGAAGACAGTCGATAAGGAACGAAGTGAAGGACTATTGCCGAAAATTCTATCGATGGTTGATTTCGCGTAGGTGATGTGTCGGATGATACATGATATTTTTCGCGCACAAAAGATCTCTCCCTCAATATTATACTTCACTTGACGCATGATTAACAAGTATAGATGATAATCATATCATAAAAATCGAGAACCCGAAGAGAACATTTCGCGGGATCATTTATGCGCGGTGTGAATTATTGAATTAGAATTCGTATTATAAGAGCAGATTTATGTCGTCTAAGAGCTATCACTTGGTTGCGTTGGCGAATTCGATGGAATGTGGATCAAACTTTGTGCTTCAACCCTCTCTTCAGCGTGACATCGAGAAGATTTGATGAAAGAAGATTATATAGAAATGTCGTGAAGACCTCGTTTACAACGAGTAAAAAGGAGATTACTCTCGCTTACATCTTACTTATGAAACTCCGATGAAGTATAGCTACGTGCAGAGATATATTCTCGTTGTAGCACGAGATATATTCTCGTTGTAGCACGTCGACAAAATAACCTTTTCAATCATGGCGCTGCTATCGAATCATCACTGCAATTATCAGAATACCCAATCCGACATGATAACACCTGCATATTCAAATTCAGCGAGGAGCTACGATCCCCTGTACCCGTCGCCGTACAATTCTCCGAGTTATGACTCCACGAGAATCACGTATCGAGACAATTGCACGCACGAGAACGAGCTCACACCGCGAAGAGATGTCGAAACGCTGGATTACGCCAAAGACGTGGTGTCGGAGTACACGAAGACTCCGGAAGGATACGATCGAGGACCTTACGGCGTCCTGACGCCCGTCACTCCGCAAAGGTAAAGATATCGGCTAAAAATTTCATCGAGAGTTTTTTATTGAGATGATCACTTTAGAATTCATCTTTATAGGTACGAGCCGCCGCACACGATGGATCGGATTACCTCGCCGCGATCGACATTGTACGAAGAAAGCTCAATGGACTATCAGCCGTCATATTGCTATGAAACGCCTCCTCAGGAACCGAGATACCAACCCCTGGAGAACAGCAAGCCGATCCTCACGATCGTCGAACCGCGCGCCAATTGCTGGGAGCCCATTATTTCGACGCAGGTAGGTTGTAACTACATCCATTGTCTTCTTCGGTAAAAGTTAATTAAAATTGTAATCTAACGGGACAACTGGATTATTATCTTGTGTGAATATTAATTAACTCACTATAACACCGTGTAACTTCATACACTTTTTAAGTTTTATTTCACTTTTCCACCATAGTAGAAAAGTAGAAAATTAGAATGTAGAGAATTAAAAACGATATATATTTAAACTACTTGTCATCATTAATTAAAGTGCGTTATGTATTTCTAATCCAACTCTGACCTGCATTGTTTTCAGAAAATGCCAACGACACCACCGGTGAGTCCGCGGAAGGGCAGACGGAGATCCCGTGACGTGCCGCCGTCGCCGACGGTGCTGAAACGTCGACGTCTCGCTGCGAATGCACGCGAACGACGTCGCATGAACGGCCTGAACGACGCCTTCGACAAGTTACGCGAGGTCGTGCCGAACCTCGGGACCGACCACAAACTCAGCAAGTTCGAGACTTTGCAGATGGCACAGAGCTATATAGCCGCTTTGTGCGATCTTTTACAGAGACACGACAGCAAGAGATAGACACGGATCCCGCAGCCGAAGCAAGTATCGTGTGCACGATTCATCCTTTCAATATCCCGGTATCGTTTTTTTAAAAAAAATGTATATCCGATCGCCTGTCAAATAAATAAATTTTTCGATGCAATAACGACGAATAGAGAACAAAATGAAGAAAATTTTAATTAAAACACAATAATTAATTTTAATTTTAAAATTAACATTTGCGAAGTAAACCAGATAAGTAAATCAGATCATTATTCTATTGTACTCTTCAATTTAGGATTTTGAAAAGTATTAAAAAAAAATTCAAAAATCATTAAAATTTACTATGTTGGAACTGAGACGCTTAATAAAATAATTAGAAATAATTGCTAGCCAGAATTAGTTTAATGTATAATTTTAAAATGTAAAATTAATAACAAAACGCACAGATAATATTTCAATAAATGTTTAAAACGTAACAAGACGTTTATAGTGATCATTGTAAAAATGTAATGAGACTGAATTCCGTAAGTTGCACAAAAAGTCTTATCCATCCATAAATCATGTTCATTTTAAGTAATTATCCATTGAAATCTAATCACATGTCTTTATATTACGCATTTTTGCTGTAATGATTATTTTTATTATTATACGAAGAATCATTTTAAATAAGTTATTTAATTACGATTTTTATACATATATAATATGCTGAGATTTTTTGTAAATATATATTTTTTATAGTTTAATTTATAATATTTCTAATATATTTTTGCGTTAAATTAAGATATTGAAAGTAATAGTAACTCTAGTTCTTTTTTACTTGAGTGTGTATCGCATATGCAATGTGAACATGTGTGTCTCTGTTTAATTTTTTACATATTGTAGAATATAAGAGAAAGAAACAGCTAAATATCCAAAGACTAAGCATGAAAATGGCAAAACAAATTCATTGTGCGTATACTTATGTACTTGCATGTATATGTAGCAGTTTTAAAAATATGTTATATTTATCTCAGCTAATATATTACATATCATCAATTCTGTGTTTAATAAAGATGACATTTTTTAATTATTTCCATCAAAAAAATTAAACAATAATTATGATATTGCTATATTATTATGTTAGTTATAAAATTATTTTCTTTTCATTTAATTTGCAAAAATAAATTTAGATTTAAGAATAAAGTTGTTGTTTGACGAATGATAAAACTTTTAAATCTTTATTGTAAATTTGTAATTATTATTGTATCTAGTCAAGATTATAATTATAGACTTTGATCATTTTTAAATAAAAATGCCAAAGAAGCAAAAAGAATATTGTAAAGAATAATGATAAATAAATCGCAAAACTTATTGTATGATCGGCCAAAGATTTTTATAAATAAGTGGCATTATGTGTATATTAAATAAATAGTAGTATTATGTGTAAATTAAATAAATAAAAGTATTCATCATTAGTTCATAAGTCGATACATTCATTATAATGCAAATGATTGTAATAATATTAATTATATCAAATAATAATTTTATACTATTGTAAATAAAGAGCTGTGTTTGTAAGAAAAGGAAAATTATAAAAAATGCAATATATTATTAATAATGCTATTTCCTATATACAAAGAATGAAACTTGGAAAAAAAGATAGATAAAACGTCACCACTTTATATTATAAATGAAAATTGAATGCGACAACAGACAGGAAATTAAAAATGCTTTCTATAAATTATTTCAAATTTCAAATTTTAAATAATTCAAATTTTACACAAATTTCTAGAGAATAGTCTAATAATAATTTGTATAATAAAATAACAAATAGAAAAATGTTTGCAACTTTTGTCATCCGCAAATTTAAAACATGATATGGCATGGTATTCTGTGTGACGTAGATGCTTAAAATTAAAGGAACAAAAATACATCAGCTGTGCCGATTGGGTGGTGATTAAGCAGAATAAATCGCGATGCACGATGTTATACCGCATTCTTCCGGTGCATCTCGTGTGCATAAACGTCGATTTTCCGGTTCTGCACGCAGGCGCGTGACCGGCACACGCACTTGTTGCCCACCTTTCCGTTTCCTCATCGAAATCTCCCTCCTCTCTTCGGGAGCCCCTTCCGGATACGAACGATTCACGTGCGCTTTCCTCCGACGGCGAAAGTCATTATTTTCGGTTTTGTCATCACGCACGGTCTTTGACATAGCGGCCGCTTTCTCTTTCAGGAGACCATGCAAGTCGCGCGACATATACATTTGTACATCTATTGCAAAATATCTTTTTGACACCGTGAGAACGTCATATCTCGTAGCGTAGAGACGCTGCTCCGTTATTTCTCTAATTACTCGCATCGTGAGTTCTGTTCTTTGTTCAATTGTGCTTTCATTCACTTCCGAGGCGACCGGACGAACGCAAATTAATATAGCGTTGCGCATATGACAACCAGCAGCTGTTGTCGTGCATTGTTCGAAACATGTAAATACAGTATATTGAAATACATACCGTTTGCAATTAGAACAACTGTGCTCAATTTATAAGGAAACCTTTTTGCTTATAAATAAAAAATTTTTTTATATCAAATATAAATTTGGAAACAAATATAAATTTAGAACTCTTTCTTTCTCTATATATTTTTCATCTTAATTTTTATTCGGATTAATAATTAAATAATTATTAAACATTACTTTATTATATTCATAATGAGTCTGTACTAATATTTTAAAAAATTTTGATTTTTTTTTTAAAGTAGCTATCCTTGCTATATGTCGAATATGTCGAATTTGAAGAGAAGAGAATGTCACTCCGTGCCGAACGCTTGTTGGACAATGTCGGGAACGAACGAACAACATTCCTTACGGCGATCTTGGCGATGGTCCTAAGAAGGCGATAAGACCCGTCGAAGACATGAAAGGGGAACATGGTCGCGAATGACACAAGTGAGATGTCAGAGTGTGTACGTGTGAGAATATGACATAGCGTCTTTAAAAGGTACAGGTACACCTTAATTGATCCGATCGAGTGGTCAATTAACACACGTCGAATTACTCTCGGTGATTCTGTTATTTGATTAGTACATGCGAATTTTCGAACTTGAGATTCTGATCATTTGCCGAGAAACTACAATTTTTGTCCCTTGAAAAATTGACATATGAAGGACCAATAAAAAAATTTCATAGATGGAAGGTAGGTTAATGTTTTAATTAGATATTTAAACAAAAAAAAACGAGAGACCAGAATTCATTTCCTTGAATTTTTTTAGAGAACGTGACAAAATATAAAAATAATAAATATTAAAAAACATATATAGCATGAAAAAATTATTTTTTGTGTATTATGATAACGTTATTAGAAAAATGATGAAATGAATGTTAGAATTCATAAAGTTTCAAAATAAATTCAATATTGTAATTATATTGAGATTCGATATGGAAGATTGAGAGAGTTGTCTGAACCGATCTTTGAAAAGAGGTAAGGACAAACAACTGGACAAAGTATAAACGGAGATTTTGATCGAGCTCTCTCTCCTTCCGTCAAATTGGCGAAATCAGGAGGAAAAGAAAAAAAAGAAATCCGTCACATTTCAAGATACGTAGGCGGACAGCGGCACGTGCCCCACAATAGAGCTCGTTAGCGATTTCGTATGATTTTCTTTTCGTTTTTTCTCTAGATGGACGTCCACCTTCCTGTCGTAAATAAGGATCCCTTCCAGCACCAGATGTCCGGTAATTAGCGATCATTAATTACCTGAACGGACGGACCAGCGTTTCGGCGGGCTGTTACGAGAGAAGATCGCCGATATATTTGCTAAACGATAAAATGCTTTAAATGGAATTTTCATTCTTGAGACGAATTGTATCGAAGGTAAAAACTTTTTTTTACGATATTTAACATTTTTTGTGAGGTCTCGTGTCACAAACATTTTACTGTGAGTGACGAGATCGAAGAAATAATTTTAATTTAAAGACAGAATATTTATTTCGCACTTTTTATTATAAGATTTTATTTCTCCTTATCTAAAATCGATATCTAAATATTCATAAAGTCTAATTAATTTGATGAAAATATTGTTGATAATAACAAGTTGATGGACCTTTTTATTATTAATATAAACCTGTAATAATATATTTGCGTCTTTAGTTTTTGATATTAGATTTGCGCAAAAGAAAAACATGGATAATATCCCGTTAGGAAAAAGAAAGGCGGAAAAGGGATACATTCCCAAAGAAAACGAAGAGACAGCGGGTAGCTGTCTGAGACAGATTTTGACCGAGTGGTCATTCGGTTGTAGGGCGTGACCAAAAGTGGTCAAGCATCGAAAGGATCGCTGAAAATCGATTTCAGGCACAATTTGCGCCAAGCGCGTTATCCTGCGCCCTTTTGACTAGGAAAACAAATTGACTCGAGAGATTCGATTAGCCTTTTCCTATTTTCTTTGTATTCCTAGTTGTCTGTTTTAATATTTAATGAATTGTGTATGACTTTTTGGTTTTCTTTTACATTTCTGTATTTAGTCTTCTGTTGCTTGCCAATTAATTAATTTATAAGTAAATTATAAATTATTTATGTGATTATGTAAAGTTTTGATTGACAATGGATATTTCCTAAATATTTTAATTAGCATGATAAATCGTTTTCATCTTTCATTTGACAAGTCCGTTAAAAGCAAGCAAATTTTTTTGCAATCATTAGTATCACGAATCTAATAAAATTCTACAAAAGAAGATCCGACTAATCAATATTATATTACGTTTAAAGAAGATTTACTTTAGGTACATTGAAAGTGTCAAGATCCGGATGATCGAAACCAAATTTAGATCGCAACCTTTCTTCCGCCGCGTCCCGTGAGAGAAACGATTCGTTCCAGGCTGCAGGTACAACGAGGCAATGTAGAAACCGAAAATTTCGAGACACCTTTCACTACCCTTATGGTGTCAAAGTCGACACCCCGGACGAAGATCAATTTTATAGCCATCTGACTCCGTGTCGAGCGGATTTTTCCATCGCCTCGACACTCGGCCCACTCGGAAACTCGTTAATCCTTTCGGGGCAATCGTTGACTAACAAGAGGATGCGCGGAACCGATTATCAAAATCAGTCTAATTCGTTCGCAGGATCGTATGATCAAAGTCTCATTCG